TATAGAAACAATTAATTTGTAAAATTTCAAAGTTTCTAAAATTACAAAATTTTATTTTGGGGAAATTGCAAAAATGTCATTTTTATGTGCACATTTGCAAAAATGCCACTTTTTATGTGCACATTTGCAAAAATGCCACTTATGAGTGTTCATTTGCTAAAATGCAACTAATTATAGATTTTTAAACCCTATATCTTAAAATTCTAAACACTAAAAAATGTTTTGACCCCTAAATCCCCCTAAACCCTCATAACTAAACCCCAATATAACATAATTAACCCAAACATAAATAATATAAAGAAAAAATAATTTTGAAAAAGTGGTATTTTTGTAAAGATTTCAAAAGTGTGGCATTTTTGTAAAGTGACAATTGAAAAATGGCATTTTTGAAATTTCTCAATTTTATTAATCTCTAAAAGATAATTGTATATAGAGTTTCAAAATTATATACTATTTTGAAACCAATATATTTGTTAGAAAAATTAACAAAATTTAGAATAAAATACATAAACGACATATATTACATTTTTTATATGGAGAATAATTTTAATGTTGCTTTCGATAATATCCCAACATTAATTAGTAAATTTCAAATTTAATTTAATTTTGAAATTTGTGACAAAAAAAAAGAATTTAATTTTGAAATTTAAAATTGCGAGTGTAATCTAGGATGAATTGTAAATTTAATTTTTTTGGAATTATTTATAGTAATCTAGGATGGTTTCCGAAATTAAAATTTAAAATATAATTTAATATTTATATTAAATTTGAAATTATGTATTTTTGTAAATTTAAGTATTTTTCTGGAAATATTTTGTTGTTTTTGAATTTTTTTAATTTTAGAAACTTTTGGTTTTTACAAATTTAATTTTTCAACTATAATTTTTTGACAAAAAGAAAAACTATCATTTCAAGGGGCAATTGCAAAAATATCACTTTTGGTGTGTACATTTGCAAGAATGCCACTTAGGGGTGTCCATTTGCAAGAATACCAATAATTATAAATTTTTAAAACTTAAATCTTAAAATTATAAACCCTAAATAATGTTTTGATCCCTAAAATCCCTTAAATTCTCAAAACTAAACTCTAATAAAACATAGTTAACCCAAACATAAATGATATGATGAATTTTTTTTATTTTTAAAAGTGGAATTTTTGAAAATGTGGTATTTAAAAAGTGGCATATTTTAAAATTTCTGTAATTTCAATTGTTATCTAGAA